GATCAACGTATCTCGCGCTACGATCGGGTCAAACCAGTTGGAACGGCACGCGGAAGAGGCAGCGTACGTGCCAAGAGCGGACCAAAACTAACAGAATGAGGCATGACTCATCCTGCCGAGCGGTTAAGAATTGATTATATATAATTGAATGCATACACCGGTTGTTTTTGAATTGAAACGTTTCGCCAGCCAACTCCTTTTCTCGTTAGAATAGCACGATACATAATCATCACGACGATACTGCATCTTGACGTGGTGTAATAGCCTGTGTCCTATAGAGGATGGCTCATCACAGCCGCAGATTCAATCAGAACTGAAAGGTCAATGGGTAGAGGCCAGACGAGGATCATTCTCACAAAGCCAGCTGTTTGGGCACCTGGCTTTCTTTGACTTTCCACTCTCGCCCTCGGAGACGTCGTTTTGGCAATAAACATTGGGAAAGGCAGTTCACCGGTCAAAAACCCGCTAGATGAACGTGGGGGCGGGATACTTAGGGCTTCCGGTAGACGGTGGGAGAAGTCTCCGCACTTCGCTAGACAGCTACCGCCCGCTTAAGTTGGACAGCCCCCAGCCAATAAAATGTTGTCCTATCCACGGTCCACCTGTCTCATTGAGTGCATGAGACTAAAGACCAATCCTAAATAGCGGACCAACACTCAGCACATCAGCGAACAATACATTGAACAGAAACCCGAAGGATTTGCATGACAGGTCTCTGGAGGCTCCCACATGGACGCTTTTGTCATGCTCCTGCGTTGGATCTACGCGCCACTGCCTTGTGCGTCAGACTTTTGAGTCAAAGGCTCCGGTTAGGGTAGCCTACGAAAAATACCGTCTGTGTAGGTTACCGCGAAGTATGTTGTGCACCAAAGTCTTGAGTACCCATTTGGAAAACCCTCTTTCTCATCTCTCTAGCTCATTTTCTCACCTTTAAATCATAGATGCACCCTGTTTGCACAACCCTTGTAATATCACCCAGTCTTCAGTTAATGGGGTCAACCAGATTTTTGAAACCAAAATCTCGTTTACACTTAGCCGCATTTAATGTCCGCACACTACCACATTGGTTAACAAGCTGCCTTAGTTAGAACCCTTGAAACTTTTAGATGCATGCTGTCTCCGAAACGCATACAAGACCCCACTTCAATCATCATCTTAATCTCCAGATCTGACCTCAACCTTACACTACTCTTTGCGTGTCAGACGATTCGACATCCGAAGCTCGCGGCGTTGCTGGTGTCGGGATTGTGCCAATTGTCAATACCGAGTGTTCATTTCTCGACTGGATCCCGGTTATTAACCGAATTTGCGCCGTACGTTTGGATGGTTTAGTACAGATCAACAGCTACAGAACGAAGCGCAGATGTTTATTTGTCGTATCCGTGTATGCACCGGCTGACTGCAGTTCGCCAGAAATGAAGGACGAATTGTACAAGGACGTC